CGCCCCACCCACACCCACACCCACACCCCAAACCGCAGGTATCTAGCTGTTTGCATTCTCGAGTTATTCAAAAAACAGTCACACGCACGGACTTTTTGAACGAACTATAGTTGAAATATTAATGAAAACGCTTTTATAAGATATATGTATTTGTAAAACTGAACGGCAAATGTTTATTGAACGATTATTCAAAATATAGATTTCGTCGCTATTCGCTTTTTTTTTCAAGGAATATGAGAAAAACTTGAATGACAATGGAAAAGAAGAGAGCGATGATATTATTTCTTCTACAGAGCCCCAACCATCTCGCTGAATCGCGTACATAGTTTAGGGGGTATTTCCGATATGTGCCAGTAACTGATTCCTGTCGGATCTATGCTATCCTACATGAAAAAATCCGATCAATGGAACTTCTGTATTCTTATGTAATCCGACAAGTTTCGATACCAGTGATTGATCGGTTTTATCATGGAATCCGGTGTCATGTGAAACCACAAATTCCGGCTATTTCTTGACATCAGATTCCACTGAATCGCATCGGAAGCGAACATATCCTGAGATCGGATCTGATCAGTTCCGAATATATGAATTTAGTCGGAACTCGATGAATCCGATCGCGGATATCAAAGGAAAACAGTGGATAGCATCGGAATCCGACAAAAAGTAACCAACCGAATCCGATTAGCCGTATGTCAACTGGTTTAAAACCTGTCCGACAGGATCCGACATAGCTATTTCGACCTGGGTTGTGTTACAAAAATACTTTTAACGTAGAAACATCTTATAATATGAAAAAAATTTGGTTTTTCTACCTTCCTTCATTTTGAGGAAGAAAACTGTTATCGTATGGAGTCAAAAGCGTCTCTAGGCGTGTCTAACGCCGAAGGCGTTTACGTCAGCGACTATTGATGAAAATGATACTTTATAGAACGCAGCATTAATAGAAACTTCCTAGAAATAGGTTTTAAGCCTTCAGAATATAGTTAGGCATATGCAATTGATGCCATTTATGCAAGCGAAATTGCTTTGTCGGCAGGTCTAAATTCTATTTCAGTGTTGTTGCATTCCAAAACCTAAATGGTCGTTGAATGAAACCATTGATATTTGTTTAAAAGTTTTTGCCGCCGAAGGCGGCCGCGCTTGTGACCATTTAAAAAATAAAACTCTTATGCGTAAAAAGTACTATAAGAAAATGTTTACATGATATATCAGACTTCTTCGGGCAGTTGTAATTGTAACGTTCTCACTTTTTGCGAAGCGAAAATTTTTTTTTTTCACTTTATATCTTGTTTGATATAGACTTATTTAATTCAGCACTTTTTGCCAAAGAGTTAGTAAGCTTCTACTTCATATCTGTTTTCGCCCTTTTTACTAGTGAAAATAACGAAAACTTTCAAGTATTGTGGGAGGGAGGCGTACTACATAAGCAATTTTTCAAACTAGGGGAGGCCGTTGCCATAGAGAATTTCAAAAGCAGGGGGCGTAACGCCTCACGCGCCCCCTCCCCCCACTTACGCTCCTGCTCAAATCTAAATAAAGTTAAGCTCTAAACAGAATATTCGACAACATTTTCCGGTCTACATTTTTCTTTTATTTTTAGTTCAAACTTCGACAGACGCACTAATGCAAAATAAATACCATCAATCGCTAGAAATCAGATTACGAGACTCTTTTTAGTATTACTTTATATCAAAATTCTATATCAACAAACTGAATTTTAAGTTTTACAATTTTTGGTTTATTTTATTTGGAAGATTTTTTTTCTGCAACTTCAATTCATTTTCAAGTCAATTCTACGTTTTATTGTTGTGATCGAAGATTGTTCCTTATTCCGAAGATTGAATCGTGTGTTGCATTGAATAAGAAGACAAAAAGAAGCACTTCTTTCAATTTAATTATTTTTTCCTTTTGTTTTTGTGCGATGAATTTATTTGCGCTGCACAGGCGAGCAACAAAATGAGTTGTAACGAATTGAGGTATAGATATGGTTGTGTAGGTGGATGTGTGAGTGTGGGTATGGGTGTGGGTGTTGACCTTATCTTTCCCGATCATCACACCTACTCCCACACCCACACCCACACCCTACAGTCCAAAAATAGAAAATTGACTCTCGCCCATCCAGTAAACAATCAGAAACCAGTCGATGTTACACGACTTTCATT